CAGAGTTAGTAGGAAAGGAGGCTTGATTAGAGAGATAAAGAAAAAGGAAAGAGATTCATCCACTCAACATGCATTATTTTATGTAACCTCGATGCAAAGTTCTGTGTGTGCTTTCAGCATTTGGGAAGATGACACGTCACAGTTAAATTCAATTCAACTGCTATTTAAAGGAACATAGTATCATAGATTTAGGGTTAGATGGGACTGAGGTCCAGAGAGGCTAAAGGAGGTGCCCAGATTCACGCAGAGAGTAGGTGTCTAGAGTGTAATATGAACCCAGGTCTTCCTGACTTCAAAGCCTATCTATGATGACTTGCCAATCAGTTATTCAGTCAAATAGCACTTATTAAGACATTATTGTGCTCAAATTACTATATGGATCTTTGAGAAAATGTTCAATTGGTCTGCAGATCTTAAAATGCTATGAAAATATGTTATGATGATCCTTCCTTCCCTTCCTCTTCCTCCCTTTTTCTCCTTTCTTCTCCCCTCCCTTCTTTTCCCTTTTTCTCCCTTATCTTTCCTTTCCTTCCTTCCTCCTCCTCCTTCTCTTTTTCCTCCTCCTCCCTACAAAATTAGTGATTTTCCTTTGTTTTCCTACAGAGGCTCTATAGGTGAGTGAGTCTGTATCAGCACAGCAGCTGCTAGTCAGTCATATTGCTTGGTGGTGGGAGCATCTTTTAGATGGAGACAGGGAGCTAATAATCAATGCCATTTACACCGAACAGTAAAGTTTGCCAAGTGCTTTACCAACCCCATCTCACCAGAACCTCACAGCTGCCCTGTGAGGTAGGTACTTCAGGTGTGGTTGTTCCCATTTTATAGATGGATATTTTATAGAAACAGAGAGGGGAGATGACTTGCTGAGGGTCACACAGCCAGTAAGTTTTAGAGGTGACATTTACACTCAGGTTTTCCTGACTCCAGGTCCAGCAGTGCTATCCACTGTACCATGCTGCCCACACCATACGCTGCCATTTCTATCACTTAAGTGTTTTCTGTATTTTATCCTTGACCTGGTTTTTGTCCTAGTTTCTAACTTATACCATCTAGGTTTTAGTTTCTTTAAGGAAAAAAAAAGTAATAAAAGCCGGCTGCCTGTGCTATGAGTAATATTAGAAAGGCTGTTTTGCTAAGGGAACAAGTGAATACTGAAATAACTGGTTTTATATTTTTATATGGATTTGGCAAATGTGATACAAAAGCAACTAATATGATACCTGACCCGGTGTTAATGTCCAATGATAATTCCATATGGGCTCCAGTACCACCTGCTACCTGTCAGGCTACACTTTTTTTTGGTCTTTTTGGCATGAAAGCTACATTAACTGTGACTATTACTATTTATGGCAGAGAATGAGGCAAAGTTGTTTTCTCTTCCATCTGAATCATAGTTGGAACATAGTTCTTTAGATAATCATTCTCCTCTCCAGTCTTTGGCTATCTCTGAGTCTCCCAACCTTTTGAATTGTATTTTAAAGCACAACCTAAATGGTAAGGAATAAACCATTCCCTATCAACACCCCTCAGATCTCCAAGGGTTAACTGAAGTTGGTATTCAATGAAGAATATCCATCAGAGGAATATAAGGATTATTTCCAGGAATATAAACAGTTAAAAACAAAACAAAACAACTACACAACCAAACCAAAGAACTCAATTAGTTTGAGCCATGAATTTGCTCGTTAATTGCTCTACTGAAGCTTCTTCACGAAAGCAATCTCCACAGAAGCCTCCGATCACTTCCTGTCCCTCACACCCTCATCAGGGGGTGTACTGAACTTGGCTAGGCAAAGCTGGAGCAACCCCACTAGAAGCATGACCACATCTAAACACATTGTCTGGTCTTAGGAAGACAAAACATTAAGTGAAATAAGGTTGGGGGTGTTGTAAAATTAGTTCTATTGAAACAGTGCCCACCACCTTCAATTTACAGTTGAGGAAAATGATGCTCAAAGGGCTTAGGGACTTACTCATGGTCACCGGCTAATAAGTGAAAAAGGTGGGATTTGAACCTGAGTCCTCTGACTTCAAATCCTACTGGTCTTTTCAATGTACAAGACATGTTAGCTTTTATTATCACTTATTGCAGGAAAGGAAGAATATGTGCTTTAAACTTAATGCTTTAGTCACTGACATTATTCTGTGTATTTGGCTCAAGATTCATTGCCTTCATCCACATAGCAATAACCACTTTCTACTTCAGCCTCTGCTTCTATCAGCCTGAGTCGTTCTGTATACGTCTTCCCATGTTTCTCTAGTTCTCCCTTTCCATGATTCCTTGGGCAGGCAACAATATTCTGTTACATTCACAAAGCATCATTGGTCCAGCCAGTCTCCAGCTGATGGGTACAGAATGTCTTTATGCCTTTGCTCTATTAGCAGTGGTGGTGCAGATATATACACATACATACATATATACACACATACACACATAAACATATGTGTGTGTGTATGTATATGTCCATATACATATGTAATATATGTGTATGTGTATATGCACACATATATACATATATTTTTATGTGTCTTCTAATAGATTAGTCCAACTGGGGCAATGTTAGGTAGGGAGAAGCCTACGGAATGAAACAAGGCTCCTCTTAACTGGATGACCTAACCAGGTCCATTCTAGGGTTCACTTCTGATCTTACCGCTACGGAAACACAGTCCTTAAGTCAAACACTTTATGGAAAGAAAAAACAACCTTTTACACCTTGGGTGGATTTGAGTTTAGCCATTAAACATTCCGTCGCTTTAGAAAAACACACTTCTGCACATTCCCGACCCTGGAGGAACTAGGTTTCCTATCTTAATCATTCACAAACGGAACACAGGGAGAGTGGAAGGGAAATACAGTCCATTAAAAATGATTTTCCTTGAAAGGCAAAGACATTATGAAAGATTTCCACAGCCCTTCACATTTTTGTAAGAAAATCGTTTCTAACCTCTCCCGGCTGCTATTATTGCAGCTGCTGCTGGGTACCTTTTGAGCAACTCCTAAAAGCACAGAAAGCTTCCTTTCCATTTTGCTCCTTAAAAATCTCCCTGAGCCACCAGTCTCCCCAGCTGGGGACTGAGGGGATGCCTGGGCTTTGAAATGCCATCCAAGTGACTCGCTTTTCCAAGATGCCCGGTAATCACTGGTGGCCCAGAAATACAATTTCACTCCTTTCCAGGTGCTTTGAAAAACATTCCCGCTACCATTCATTTTCTCACAACAGTTTTGTGAGGTTGGCATTGCTAGTCTCATTTCCAGATGGGGAAGCACTGGTGATATAATTCAAGGTCAATGACTCAATAAAGGAAAAACTTCTGGACGATTAGAGCTTCCATCCCAAAGTGGGCTGGGATGCCTTGAGAAGTAGTGGTTTCCTCATTCCTGGAGGTCTCCAAACAGAGGTTGGATGACCGCTTGTTCATGAGAAGCTTGGACCAGATGGTCTCACAGGTCCTTGGGAGTCCCAGATAAAGAGAGAAGGGAAGCTGTATCTCTGTAGAACACACAAGGGTGCTACTGTCACGCTGGGAAAGGGTGATTCTCTCTTCAGCTCAACTCCCCCTTTGACTCCCAAGCCAGCTCATTTGTACTGATGGGTACATTAAGTCATTGGCACTGAGAGCTTGTCTTCAGTGTCCTAATAACTCAGGGAAAGCTTTATTTCATTCTCTGATCAATAGTATTTTTTTGTGTACAAAGTCATTATACATTGATGGGTGTGTGTGTGTGTGTGTGTGTGTGTATGGAGGAGAGGGGACAGGAAGAAGGGAAAGATCACTACGAGGCACCATATTGTTGTGCAGCCCAAACCTTGCAGCCATGAGTATCCAAGGAATATTTATTATATAGCGACTGCATGGTCTAACGGATAGGAAAATCAGGATTCAAGTCCTGCCTTAGACACTGACTAGCTGTGTGACCCTTGTGTGGGTCACTTGCACTCTTGGGGCCGTGGTTGCCTCTTCCATAAAAGAAGGGTTTGAATCTGAAGGCCTCAAAGTTCTATTTCAGCTCTATGATCCTCTATACAATGCCCTGGGCTAGTTACTGGGGATATAAGGACAAAATGAAACAGCCCCTGCCTTCAAAAGAGTACCATTTACTGAGGGATACAGCACACTAATGTAAGCAAGTACAAGGTGACTGAGGGGGCATTTGTTCCAGAGAAATAAGGGAAGGCTTCCAGGAGGAGGTGGCACCTGGGATGCAGGGGACATGCAAAGAGTGAACTAGTCCTTGCTTTCTAAGAGTGAATGGAACAGGTAAAGATATCAGCATAATAAAGCTTAGAGAAGGAGGGAGGCAAGGAGACCCACCAGACATGATGATTGAAGCATCAACGATGCATCTGTGTGAAAGAATAAATGATGTGCTAGCCTTGGAGGCAGGAACATCAGAGTGAAAATCCTGCTTCAGACACTTAGCAGCCATGTGTCCCTGGGAAGTCTCTTGACCTCTATTATCTTCAGTTTCTTCATCTGTACAATGGGGATAATAGCGTCTACTCCTAGGGTCGTTGTGAGTAGCAAATGAAAGACTGAGCATTCCTGCCATTCACCTCCATCTCTTCCATCTCCTTCTCCTCCTTCTCCCGCTTCTTTCTTCTTGTCGTCATTATTATTCCTTCTTCTCCCACACATTGCTTCTTACATCTCTCCCAGCCTCCAGATCCCAGACTCCATGCTGAACCCTGGCCTGGCTGAAGTCTGTCCCTCGTTCTCTAAGGAGTCCTCCGCTGGGCCGTGTGGAGATGCGGCTGGTTTCTTTTGGGGGGTCGGGCAGAAGTTGCCTGCTGGGGCTCTCAGGCTCTGTAATCCCCATGCACACAGCCACATATGTTTTTCCGAGACTCCCCTCTTCAGCATTACAGAGGGACCCTTCAGTCGTGATGATTACGGAATGGATACAACACTGATGGAGCTTAATTGTTTCCACTGGATGGATCTTGGGTGTTCTTTGGCAGCCAAAATGAAAATGATTCCAAATACCATCAAAGGGGCTTATGAGCACCCAGCATGTTCGCCGGCGATCGGTATTGAAGCTGGGGTGTTAATATCATTATATCTCCTGGTACAACATGCGTTGACTCTAATCCTTTCCTGTCTCTATGATCTTGGGAGCTCCGGCGGGCAGGGAGGCCCCACAGAAAACCCTGCAACAAGGAGACAAAGGCAGCGTTCAGCCTCATCTCTGGTGTGCGCTTTGGAGGCTGGTTTGAATAGTGTCTTCAGACGGGCCCCTTTCTCAGGCCGGTGGCCTGCCTCGTCCACCATAGTCAGAGTTAGGGCACCAGGAGGCAACATCACGCATACCTTTTCACACATGGTCTTTCCAGATTTTTTTTTAACACTTACTTAGCAGTTTATAGAAGGAAGTGAATGATCTTCTCAAGCTGCTTACAAATTAAAAAAAAATCTGCTCTTATTAATTATGCAGGATTAGTCTAATTATAATTCAGCAAATTAATTAGCGACAGAAGGTGTTCTGAAACATTGGAGTACATTTGCATGTTAAATGGAGAGGCTAGTCCGTAATGTATGTAAATTTATGCATGGCTTCAGAGTTTAATTTAAAAATTTGCAGCTGCATATGGTATGGGAGCAGGTGAAAAGTCAGTTTTGCTTTAATGATGCTCAGAAACATTGGAGGGTGTCCTGTCTGCGCCCGAGAGAACGCCCCCCATATCTGCTCATCTCGAGATCTGGCAGAAGGATATAATATAGCCCCCTCCCCCTTCCAGCTTGGGCTCAAGGTCATTAGTGAGTGGACCCATAGGTGCCATAGGTATGAAGCTGCAAGCTGCAGAGACCAGGAAGGAGATAGTGGCCATCCGCTTTGATTGGCCACTCTCCCCAATGGTGGCTTAGGGAAGCATCAGTTCAACCGACGGCCGGAGTTTGGGGAGGCCGAATAGGCTTGGTGAGACAGAGGGCTTTGCAAACCAGTTCTCACTTTGGGTCTGACTGATATCGATTGTGGCAGGTGGAAAAGACTGGTCCAACCTTGATTCCCGCTTCACACAGTCACATTTGCAGTTCATGTCAATTTCCCCGAGTCGTGGGAAAGTTATTACCGAGTTATGAATTAATGGGAGGGGAGAGAGTTTTACACGTTGGCCCCTACCATCTGGCAAAACAGTAAAACCAGCGGACCAGGCAGAAGCAAAGGGTCCTTGGTGTAATCGGTGTTCACTGCTCAGCCTAGCATAGATCCACATTGTGGGGAGGGAAGAAAAATTGAGGCTGGGGAGGGGGATGGTGGAGGGGAGGAAATACTTAAGTCAAGGAATCATTAGGCTGATGACTAAGAAAATAACTTCATTTCTTCCTGTCACCAGAGTAGCCAGAGGTGCTGTTTCATTGGAAATCTCTTGAAATGATCCATCCTCACGGAGAATGTTCCACCTGGAAGGGATTGGAAGGGTCATTTAGGTCAAACCCCTCACTTTACTGACTAGCAAACTGAGGCTGGGGTGGGGGGGGGTCATGAAGTTGGTCTATTATGTGCCTTTTTCTCTCTGGCAGAGCTTTAATCAACCTGGGGCTTCTAGATCTTTGCTCCAGGATGTCGGGAGAAAGGCGTGCTTCCTCTATGACACAAACCTTTCCTGCTTCTGATCATAGTTCCCGCACTTCACCTCAAAAATTCTCTTCCTTCTTTGGGGTCCCCCCCCAATCAGGCTTTCATCTTGACGATCTAGCTGCTAATGCCTTCCCCTCAAGAATGTTGTGTTTGTTTTGTGTATAACTATGAAAAATCTAACCACTCTGAGGGCAGGGGCTTTCACATTGGTCTCTGCATCTCCATTGGCTAGCATGATGACTGACACATAGTAGGTGCTGAATAAATGCTTGTTGATTGATTGAAGGTTTGTGCCCCCTTTCCTGGCATGGGGATGTTTGAGGTCTAACAGCTTTCTTCATTTCTTGCTACTACCTTCCACTCCTTAGCTGTTTTTGCCTGATGTGAAAATATTCCTACTTAGAGCTTTGTACTTTTGTCTCAGTGTCCCTAACAGTTTTTAGTGACATGAAAGGAAGAGGGCATAGAGGAAGAAGAAGGTTATTTTTTTTAAAAAAAAGGTGAAATGCATCCCGGTGCGTGGGTATCTCAAAAGACTTTGTTTTTAAAACAACTGCAATGAAAAACCCAGTGTTGGTGCCTTGGCTCATTTCCATTCCAGCCTAGAAGAGTGGGACGATTTTCATTAATGGTGTCAGATTTTCATCCGAGTGCAAAAACAAAGAGTTTAACTTGGAGACCTTTGTCCAGGGGCCTTCGAGGCAGACGGAGGAGTCCAAATGCAGTAGAGATACCTGAACATCTAACTCCAGTTTGGACCCCAAGACTGGAGGGTTTTGCTGGCCAGAAATTAGCAAAGGAACCAAGAGACGGTCTTGTCTCTGCCCCTTGGCTGCCATTTCTAGACAATGGTAGGACGTTTGAACAGCAGGAAATGTCCACTTCAGAAGCCATCCTGAAGGGAGCTCACTGGGGGATGGAGACTGTGGACACAGGGAAGGCAGAGCCTCCCTTACCCAGTGGGGAAAGCAGGATGCGGAGCCTATGAGAGCACAGCAGGCATTGCTCGAGGTGGTGGGGGCAGTGTTTATGGTAATGAGAGACCCGTGGCCAAACCCAAATGCCTTTTTTTTTTTTTTTTTTTTGTTAGAAATTTGTAACTCAGCCAAAGGAAAAATGAGGCCTAGGGCTACAATCTCATACATGTGTATTTTCCACTGGGAGAGAATTTTGCGTGTGTGTATGCATGTGAGTGTGCTCACATGCGAGTACACATGGGTTTCTTTTTTTGTCATTGTTTCCTCAGTGCCTATGACTGTGCTTGGCACAATGTTGGGATTTAAGAAATATATGCGGAAGGATTGATTTTTATGTGCATTTTATTCATCCAAACTTATCGTAACAGTGCTATGTTGTATTTTTTCCCCTCACCATTGCAAAATTATTTTTTGGGATCCTGTACCTATCTATGTTCATGTCATCTCCCCCATTAGAATGTAAGCTTCTTGAGGGCAAAGAATGTTTTGCTTTTTCTTTGTATCCCCAGCCCTTAGCATGGTGCCTGGCACATAAATATTTGTTGACTGATTGAGTTTCCAGAGATCACAGCTGTGCCATCGACCACAGAATCCTCAGCTGCTAGATTTAGAGTTGGAGGAGACTTCAGAAGCCATGAATTCATTCTCTTTGGATTTATTCTGTGCATATTTGGGTATATAAGTCTTTGTTGTTTTCCCCATGAGAAGCCCTACTCATAATATCCTTGTGGGTATAGATTGAGTCATTCATTGCATTTTAATCCCCCATGCCCAGTGTGATGCCTCACACATAGTAGGGCTTTAATAAGTACTTGTTAAGTAATTATTGATGATTGATAGTTGAAAACTGTCCATTTACAGATGAGGAATATAAGGCTTAGAGAAGGCTAAGTACAGCAGTTAGGGAGCACCATGGTGCACAGAGCAGCAGATCTGAAATAGAAAGAGCTGAGTTCAAATGCTGCCTTAGACATTTGCTAACTGTGTGACCCAGGACAAGTCACTTAACCTCTGTTTGCCTCAGTTTCCTCATCTGTAAAATAGAGGTAATAACAGCACCCAACTGTCTGGGTTGTATTGAGGATCAAATATAATAGTTGTAAAGCTTAGCGCAATGCCCAGCACATAGTAAGTGTTATATATATCAGTTATTATTATTATTACTATTAATTGTAAAGTGCTTAGCATAATGCTCCACCCATAGTAAGCACCAAATAAGTGCTAGCTATTATTGTTGTTGTTCTTATTATTAGAGAAGTTAAATGACTTGCCCAAGGTCACCCAGGTAAGTAACAGTTGCAGGATTTGAACCCAGATTCTCATGATTAAACCAGCATATTTTCCATTATTAATCCTCAGAGAACTGGACTTAGAGTCAGGATGAACTGGGTTTGAATTTCATCTCTGATATTGTGCTGCGACTCTGAATATGTCTCATCACTTTTCTGAGACTCAGTTTCCTTATCTGTAAAATAAGGATATTAAAAAGCAGCTCCTCACACTGTGGCTGTAAGGAACCAATGAACTTGCATCTGTATAGTGCTTGGTAAACCTTAAAGCCTAGGTATTTATTTATTTGGGGGGGGATTGACCAGACCTATGATTTCATTGGCATAGGGGACTCATTGGCATGAGGAAATTCCATTTACTAATGCAGCTTCTGGTCCTATGAGCTTTGGCTATGGTTCAGTGTTATTCTTTGCCACAAGGAACAGGGATACACTCTGGGAGAAGGGGGAGATGAGCGAGCACACATGCAGTTGTATGTGTAAATTCCATACCATGTGTGAGAAACTCATTCATATGCATGTGGGTGCAACTGTCAATTCCCTACATTCTGAGGCTCAGAGGTAGGCTGGGTTGCTTTTTGAGACCCATAGTTCCCTGGGGCTTTGAGAGGTGAAATAATTTGTCCAAGGTGACACGATCAATATGTGTCACAGGCAAAACTCGAACTCTGGTCTTTGTGACCTTGAGGTTGCTTCTCTATCTATTGCACCATGTTGTCTCTGACTCCAAAAATGGTGGCTATTATTATGGCTGCCCCGGTGTGATTCTCGGGTGCAAAAACTTTACCTGGAAGATGAGTTGGAGAGATCATTGACACAGACATGAACAGACAGACTTTAAGTGGGAGCAATTCTTCCTCTGACACCGCTTTATTTTGAAAACATTTTGTTGCTGTTGTTATTGAGGAGGAGGGGCAGGGGAATGGGTGGAAATAGTTTTGGAAGAAACAATCCAGAAATTTAAACAGTTGACCTTCTAAGAATGACATATTGGACGGAGTCGTATCTGAAGTCAGGTAGATCTGGGTTCGTATATCGCCTTTAACTCTAGCTGTGTGACTTTGGCCAAGTCTTTCGTTCCTTCGAGACTCAAAGACAATTGTAGCCACTTAAAATATGCTTTATAGAGGGAGTTCGCTGCTCTGGGATGTCCCAAATCACAAAAGTAACAGACTTTTTATGCATTAGGCACTTGAACACAGTGGTGTGCTGGAGCTGGCTTCTTCAAGGAGAGCTGATTGTTAAATTTTTGGTGTGAGCGTCGACACCTCAGAAATCAGTCAATGCTAGAAATCAGGGTTTGATTTGTTGTTTTGTGATTGTCTACAGTTAAGAAAGTGACGGAGAAAATGTTAATAACAAATTAAATTTAAAGGTGTGTCGTAGCACTTAGCATGGTGCCTGGTACATAGCAAGCACTCAATAAATGTTGATTAATTGATTGATCATGGGTCCATATCCGGTGGCCCCCCCCCCCGCCCCGAACCAATTGTTAAATAGTTTCCAGCAGTTCCCCTGTTTGGATAAATCAAATGAAAGCTTCAGAACCCCAGAAATTGTAGGGGAAAATGAACTTGAAAGGATACATAATTCATTTGCTGCAGATTCAATTATAATCATAGGACTGCATATGTGGTAGGCCTTGAGGTGTAAGGTGCCCTGGTACTGATAGGACTGAAGTGGGATAAGCTGGCCTCTTTGGGGTTGGCATAGTCTAGTATTAATTCTGTACAACTCTTATCTCATGTGATTCCCCACAACAACTCTGTGACGTAGGGGCTACCATTATCTCCATTTTACAGAAGAGGGAATGAGGCAAACAGAGGTTAAGTGACTTGCTCGATCAAGGTCATACAGCTAGTATCTGAGGCCGGATCTGAACTCAGGTTTTCCTGACTCTTGAAGCCTTTCATAGTTTGACTCTGGTTTACCTTCCCATACTTATTTTGCATTCCTCCTGTTTGTATTCTTTATGTCTCACGCACACTGGCCTCCTTGCTTTGAACTGGCACATTCTAGCCTCTGCCCATATGCATGGCATGACCTTACTTCTGCCTCTGAGAAGCCTGCTTCTTTTAAGGCTCAGCTAAGGCTAGGGTGCCTCTTTCTGCATGAGACCTTTCCTCATGCCCTTGGCTGTTGGCGTCTTCTTCTTCCTCTAATGATGCCCCGCTTCCTTGTCTGTATGAACATGGGATCTCCATAGGTGAGAGTGAGCTCCTTCACTGAAGGGATGTTTTTCTCTTCTTATCTCAGCATTTATCACAGTGCCTGGCATTTAGCAGGCAATTAATGACCATTTGTTGAATTGAATAATCTATGTTAAATGCTTCAAAAACTTTAAGGGCTAGTTGTATCATTATTACGTTATTATTATTAATTGAAAAGCTGGCTTTGACAATGACTCTTGAAATTATTTGCTAATTTAAAAATAAGAGGATTTTTTTCTTAAAGAAATTCCTTTGTCTCAGGGAACAGGGAAGGAAGGAGGAAGGGAGGGATAGAATTCAGAACTCAAACCTTAATAAAAAAGAATGTTAAAATTGTTTTTACATGTAATTGGGGAAAAATAAAATATTATTAAAAAAAGAAATTCCTTTTGTTTTTACATCAATCAATGCATGAACAAGTATTTTCTGAGTTTCTACTATGTGCCGGGCACTGTGCTAGATTTATAAAGAATAAAATAATAAAAAAAGAATGAAATAATCCCTACCACCATCCTTTCTGGAAATACTGCCTTCTATTTCCTCTCCCCTTCCTCCCTCTCTTCCTTGCAAAATTGAGCCCTCGCTTGTTACAAAGAGAAATAGTTAAGTACAAATACCTGATCCCACCCATCTGCTGGGAGCAGGGGAGCATGTACCTCGTCTACTCTCCCAGAGTGTGATGGTTTTTTTTTCCAGTTGTTCCTGGTTTGGCTTCCTTTCAGCCGTCTTTTCATTTCCATGGTTGTAGTCACTGGGCTCATTGTTCTGCTGGCTAACGTTTCACCTCATCCTGTCACACTTTGAATTCCTTACTTCTCACCCCTCCCTCCTTGTTCACAGGAGGACAAATGGCTCCCACCTCACGGGGGCCCTCTTTGGCTAGTCTGTACCGGCCTGCTCAACTTTCTCTGGGCCTCAGTTTCCGCCCCTATATGACGAGGGGTCCGCACGAGAGCACCTAAAGTAACCTTTCATCTCTAGACCTCTAATCTCTGCTCCCAGCACCGGTTAACAAAGCTGGGCTCTCTCTGCCCCATCATCAGGGCCTTCCAGGAGGGAGCTGTCCCCCAAAGGACACAGTATCAGAAGCAGGGTTCTCACTAGGGGTGGGCAGAGTAGGCAAACACCCAGGGCAGAATGCCTGGGGGGAGTGCGATGAGCCACGTTTTTTAATATGACTTATTATAAAGGCATGCATTTGGAATGCCGATAAATCCCTTGACAAGCCCGCCTGGATTTTGTGAGAAGTCAAGTTCCTGACATTCCCTTGAAGGCTCAAAGTCTCAGTTAACACACAGCAACTTCCCAACCTTGCCTGCGGCTCTGATCACAACAGAGGGAGGTTTTCCTTCTTGGTTTTTGTTGTTGATTTGTTTTGCCTAAATAGGAACTACTTTTTTTCTCTATTTTCAGTCGGAAGGGAGAGGAGGTTTGGTGGCTGTGCTCATAGAGAAACAAACAGTGATGTTTACTGTTAGTCACTTACTCCACAAGCATTTATTAAGCACTTACTGTGTACTAGGCACTGTACTAAGAGCTGGGGATACAAAAGGAAAAAAAAGAAAAGATCTGTGTGCTGAGCCCTAGGCTGGGGACTGGGAAAGAGGAGATGCTAAACTGAGAAGACATAGCCCCCATAATAATAGTTCACAGAATATTAAATATGAAATAATAATAATAGTAGGAGAGTGACTTACCCTCAGGTAATTTTAAACTAGCAGGAGTCGAATAATAATAATGACGATAATAATATATTATATAATGTAGTAAACAATATATGTAACAATATATAATGATATAATATAATAGCTAGCACCTTAAGTTTTGCAAATCACTTTATTCATATCTCATAGTGGATATGGCAGTGGGTTTGGAGTCAGGAAGACCTGGGTTCAAATCCTGCCTTACACACTTATTGCCTGTGTGTTTCTGGATTACCTCTCTGTGCCTTGGTTTCCTGATTCATAAAACGAGGTTGGTTTTGATGATTGTTGGGGTCCCTTCTAGCTCGACGTGAACTTTTGAATACTAGTGATACTTGGCACAGTGCCTGGCACATAGCAGGAACTTAATAAATTTTTATTGATTGATTGTCTTGTGAACATCAAATTCTAGAATGAATGGAAAGCACTTTGCAAAGGTTAACACACAATGGCGTCATGGTGTCATGGATTACTGTTGAATGAGGACAGGACTTGAAGTGCCCCACTAAAAGTAGCCAAAAGCCTGCTAGGGTCAGGGGACTTGTGCTCTCAGGTGACTCAGTTTCCCCTGAACAAAAGAAACCTGTTGGGTCATACTTCCTATCACACTTGGGTCTGCCTCTTTCAAATGCACTTAGCATGTAATACTTAACAATGAATTGTTATAACACAGTTATCATTAACTGTGCGTGAGAGACAGGGTGCCGGAGTGAATAGAGCACTGAATGGCACCCAGAGCTGAGAAGACTAGAGTTCAAATCCTATATTTCCTATCTGTGCAACCCTGACCAAATCACTTACCCTCTCTGGGCCTCCATCCTCTCCTGGCTCTACCTGTGACGTTGCTCACCATGCCCAAGCTGCCACCTGACCCAGGAACTTCCCTTAGGGCCTGGGGGCTTCTCACCCTGGAACGGTGCCCATCCATCCAACTTAGCAGCCATAAAATCCAACCCCTTCATTTTACAGATGAGGAAACTGAAGCCCAGGGAGAATAAATGACTTGTCCAGCGTCACATAGGCAGGATTCAAACCCAGGTCTTCCCGACTCTAAGCCCAGTGCCCTATCCACTGTACCACACTGCCTCCCGTTCTACCCCTGTTACTGTGACTTTAAGAGCACACAAAGTTCCACCTCCATCATCACTGGTGGAGCTCAGCTGATTGGGACTTCGTGCTAATTAGATTGTTTTCAAGCACTTAGACCCCTTCCATTTTCCTACAAACAATTACCATGCAGATCACAAATATGCCTCATCTGTTCCTTGCAAGGCAGGGAGGGCACACAGCACTGGAGCCCTGCCTTGTTAGCCTTTCCCTTGTATCGCTGCTGAGACTGGCGAATGCTCATGTCACACTTTTTGAGGAAGGCTCCCCGACTTCAGACCATTCCTGAGTGCTACAGACCAACCTTCTGCCTAGAGAGCCTGGAAGGAAGAAGCAGCCTTCAGGGTAGCCTAACACTTCCATGGCACCCACCCATTCTAAGCCAATGAAACAGATTCTACAAACATCAATTAAGCACCTATTGTTAAGCACTGATCGTCTGCAGTACCCTGGGCTCAGTTCTGGGGGAGATAAAATGGTTTAGATTTGGCATTATCTCTACCTTCATAAATCTACAGTCCAGTAGGGAGATAAAAAACCAAACATAGACAAAAGTAGTAATACTAATAATAATAACATCAACACACACAATATCCCAAAATCATGACATTAGGAAGTGAAAAAAAAAACAAGTACTATGTGAAGTTAGAGAGAGGAGGCAAAGGGCCTTTATAGAGTTGACATTCTGGGCGAGCTGTGTTAGAGGGCAGTCAGAAATTCAGCAAGTAAAGAGAGGGAGGGAAGGCATTTGGCCATAGAGAATCTAATATCAGTTTAATTTAACAAGCATTTACTAAGCATCCACTACGTGCCAGGGATTTTCGAGGTGCTCAGCAAACAAAAGCAAAAGCTGAAATAACCCACGCCCTCAAGAAGTCTGTATTCTATTGGGAGAGAGAGTAACATATACATAGAAAATGAATTAAAAATATATACAAGGTAATATCCAGCAGAGGGCACAGGTCTAATAGAAAGAGAAATTTGTTAATATTACAACAGGAGTTCCAGAAGGCACAATGGAGGGGCAAGCTTGACTTGGATATGTACCCAGGAGGGATGGTACCAACATGGATGTATATGAGAAGCAAGGAATGTGGTTGTCAGGGAAGAAAGCATCAGCCTCAGTGTCTTACAACTCCACATCACGGGTTTTTGAAGAGAGCAGAAAGGAAATAAATTCTTTCTTTCTTCCTTGAAGCAATGGATTTGGATTGGACGAGCAAAGGCCAAGAGATGAGAGAACTCAGTTCATGTTTTCTTGGTGGGAGATGGAGGAAGGTAGAAATATTTCTTCCTTTTAAAGAATTTGGGTGATATCATCAGTGTGGTACAGAACAAATGTTACTGAGCTGGGAGATGGAGGATATGGGTTCAGATCCTTGGCAAGGTCTCTTTAGCGCTGATTATCAGTTTCTTTCTCTTAAAATAAGAGTTTAGAATAGATGAACCCTAAGCTTCCTTGTAGCTCTAAACTTATACTCCTGTGCCAACCAATTGAAATTCCATGACCCTTCTACACCATCTCATACTGTGCAAATTTTGTCAAGTCATCAAGTGAACAAGCATTTACTAAGCACCTACTATGTG